CCCCGAATATCTGCCATGATCGTTTATGACGATCATGACGCAAACGAAGCCTGAGTATCGACCGATTACATGACGATGTGTTGCTATTTGCTTATACAATTATCATCTGATTTTTTATTCTTGTTGACCCAACTCGCGTCAACTGAAAGAAAGCAGTTTCTGGTAGATTCCTTATTCAGCCATGACCGAGTCTGCCGGTAATTACCCAGCATTGCCTATCAGCACCCCGCCTTACGGTTGACACGAGTTGGGTTAGATGAATGGCCATCTTTTTTTTTTTTTTGCTTCCAGTTTGAGAGTGTCTATCCATCAATGAACAGACATAATAAGCTGGCCAAGGCTGACCAGAAATTGAATGTTGTTGGTGATCAGGTCCTCTTAAGGAGATCATCTAGCTGGCTCATCCTAGCCTGCAGTGCTGTGTGTACATATGGCCTCCATCTTTCCATTCTTTTTCTAAGCGGAAGAATGTTAAGACGAGGTTCGGTCATCAAAAGAAACACATGGAGCCGACGAGCACATGGAAAGAGTGTTTCGAAGTGATGGATTGGATTGCTCAGAGCGTTATGAGGGTCTTACATATTTATATGGGCTAACTTGGTTTGATGGGAGGCATGTATTCCCCTCTCATGTTTTTGCAGCCTGATCGGAGTCAGGAGCAGCAGCTAAAAAACACGTGGCGCCTCCTGCTCCATGATGCTGGCTCGTGATAAGTTTCTGCAGGCCAAGAGTTCAAGGTTGTCAATTAACGACTTCAATGTTCGATGGTCTCATTTCTCACCATCACATCATCCCCAACAACCTTCGATAACCCGATCAGAGTTTCATCAGCTTTGTATGGTCAGTTACAATCGTCAGTTTCATTCGACTGGCTGCTCGACTCGGTCGATGGCCTTCTTTTGTTCCCTGAAAGGTGAATCCCAACGTTCGCCTGAGTGGTTCCCCAGGTGCATATATAAATCTGACAATTATCTTAATCGATGACATGTGTGATATCGCCACTCTCTTTCATCTTATCACCCTTTATAGTCGTAATCATCGAAACTTCAACCACAGAGCTTTTCAGGAATAATCCCAGTGTTTAAGTTTTTCTCAAGACCACGGTTTTGGGGTTGTTTGTTTTCCGTGGAACTCCCAGGTGTGTAGACAGAAGCAGATTCATAGACAGGATGACTGAGTTGATTCTCATCGACATCCACCATCAAAATCATCTTTCCGTCCTTGTAAAAAAACCCCGATGCCAACTATTCTTGAACCTTATCATGGCCATCCCCAGCCTTTCGGGTACAACAACTATCATCAAATTCGCTTGCAGGTAGATTATTAGCCAGCCTCTCTCTAGTGGCATAATAGGCCTCTCTGACATATTGGCAACAAACAGAAAGCAAAAAAAGGGTCCAAGATATCATCAGCATCATCAATCATCCTCGCATCCAATACGGGATTCTTACCGACGGAGCTCTCCTCAACTGAAACTCGATCAGAAATTTCGGAATTGGATTTGGACCGCCAACTCCTCTGCTCGAGGGCTGATCAGCCACCAGCCCATGATTTGGATCGAAATTAATCCTTCTACATAGGACCCTGCATGCTCCATCACAAATTGTACTTTTGGTCACATAATACGTCATTGCTTCAACTCGAGGTAGGTTAACAGATATATAACACCAAGACATCTTCTATTTAAATACCTTTGCCCATCTCTCTCGAGGCCTCAACCCTCATAGCCGAGCACTAGTCTACGCGTTGCTTTTTGAGCGCATTATGTAGACCAAGACACAATTCTCTACCAAAACTGAGACTTGAGTACGGCAAGTTGGCCTGTATAAGCATCGACCAATTCGCCGCCTACAATCATAGAGTCTCTATCGCTCTATCCATGCTTCTCAGCACTGTGGCAAGTTGCTTTGCCGAAACTTGCTGATCATTTTCTTCGTCAAGTCTTCGTTACAGACCTGTCAACTATGTATGTACTGTCTCACTGCCGCAAACAAACCTTTCGCCTGCTTTCTCCAACATCCAACTCACACATCACAAATTTCACACTGGAATCTGGATGCACGATGGAGCCATGCATGCAAGTTACGAAATACATACATAAACATCGAAATAAATATATGTGTTTAAAATATTATGTACAAAACCTTATATGGATTGAGAGTTAAAAGGATAATTTCCAGTTCAATGACATTGACTGTCTTCTCATGCTTCCCAACCCAAATGAATCCCACGAGAATGTACTGTAGATCGTCCTCAACCCGAAAAA